GGGAGGGGAGTGAATGGATAAAGTGAGTTTATGGTTGAATTTTGGTGGCTTCAATCTGCACGGTGCTAGAATTTGTTCTTATTGATTCAGACAATCCAATTGTGGCTTGAACAGAGGGAAAATATTGTGGCTTCATATTTGCTGAGTCCAACTAGTTTTGGTTTGAGGCATTGTTGATTGATTTTCAAGGATTTTAATGAATAAGAACTAAGAATCAGACATATTGTATGAGTTTGCAGCAATTACCCAAGACCATTTTCAACAGTTGATTTTTGTGTTTTCTCATATAGGGCATTCACGTAGTGAGATCTCCTCCTCCAAGACGAATATCGTAACTGAACAACTTGAATGTGCCCTATTAAAAAAAATTATGTGCGCAAGCTCTTCGGCTTAGATGCACAAAGGAAAATCTATAAGTTGTCTTTTTCCCTTTGGAAATTTCTTGACACTATTGAAGGTTCATTTCCTTCGCTTTCCTTCACTAGTCTTGCACTACTGTCAGGGTGAAACACAAAAATGGAGGAAGATAGTAGAACAAGAGGGGAATGGGTTATATATTAGATGTTTTGGACCTGTCCGTGTTAACTTTCTTCCTAAAACTTGAAGGCCTTAAGAGGGGAGAAGTGATTGAAGTTGATCTCAAAAGATTCAGTATATCTCAGAGAAAACAATGGAAGTTGAATATCGATATAGGTGATACCAACTAGAAGCTAGTGCTTATTAGAAGGCTCTTTGTGTAATAAAGGTATAACTACTAGAGTATGTTAGATAATCCTTAAGTGTGGAGTATTGAAATATTATGGACCCACATATAGCTAACTAGCGTGAGATTGAGGTGTAGTTGTTATTGTTGTAAGATGGGAGTTTTACATGCTATTGTCAAATTTTAAATATATTTGTTCTAGCTCCTTTTAAAGGCTGATTACTGTTTCTATTTCTTGATGTAACAGGCTGCAATATTTGTCTACTCTCTGTTTGGTTCATAATCCTCTTTGTTTACCCCTCACCTTATCTACTTTTTGTTGTGATTACTTGCATCTTGTGTCACTAGATAAATCAAATTCAAGCCTTTTTTTTCATAATTAATTGTGTTGTGATATTTGACAGGTTTCTTGATTCAAAGGTTGTGCATATATGGATCACGGGACTGGTGAATCAGTGGATGCTATGCATTCAGCTGATATGAATTGTGAGCATGGGGATTTTGAATGCAACATCTGCTTTGAAATAGCTCAAGATCCTATTGTGACTCTTTGCGGCCACCTTTATTGTTGGCCTTGTCTTTGTGAATGGTTACAAGTTCATTCACATTCCCACGAATGCCCTGTTTGTAAGGCTCTCATTGAAGAGCAGAAGTTAGTTCCCATATATGGCCGAGGTAAGGCAAGCTCTGACCCAAGGTCTCGTGTACATCCTAGGACGAACATTCCTAACCGCCCAGTATTCGGGCCAAGACCACAAACTGCTCCGCCACTAGATATGAACTATTTCCAGCACGATGAGTTAGATCCGATGGGGGGATTCATGCCAATGGCAAGTGCGAGGTTTGGGAATTTGACATTATCTTCTTTATTTGGAGCTATTCCGGCTTTTTTTAACTTTCATGTGCAAGGATTTCATGATGCTACTGTATACGGTGCGACCACAGGAGTTCCATACCTGTTTTCAAGTTCAGTTCATGGGGGTTATGCTCATGGTTTTCATCATTCAACTCATGTAGATGGGACAAAGTTCTTCATCAAGATGTTTCTCTTGATTATTGGTTTCCTCTTAGTTGTTTCTTTAATTTTGTAGAGTTTCATTCCAAGTGTTAGAAGGGGATGCCTTAGCGTAACCGGTAAAGTTGCTGCCATGTCACCAGGAGGTCATGGGTTCGAGTTGTGGAAACAGCCTCTTGCAAAAATGCAAGGTAAGGTTGCGTACCGTAGACCATTGTGGTCCGGCCCTTCCCTGGACCCCGCGCATAGCACCGGGCTGCCCTTTTTTCATTCCAAGTGTTAGAGATCAAATTAAGATGTAGACTTGTTAATCATGTGTGTATATCTTAGAGTAGTAGACTTGTGTATGTCTAGCAAAGTAGTGGCCTCAGTGTGCACAGTTATCTTTCAGTGTATTCAGTGTTAGGCTTAGGTATTTATTCCTTATTGCACCATAATTAGCTCCATATTTTTGTCCAACTATGAGTTTGACTTACACACACTGTGTTAAGAAACTTTACACTATCAAGTTATTGAAGATCCAATTACATGTAAGTTTTAATAGCAAGCATAGGATTGGTAACTTGCAGAATATGGTAAATGACCTGTTATAGCAGGTAAAGCTACACAAAAGGAGTCTTACCAGTTTCTAAGTTCTGGTCTTCTTTATTGAAGAAGCTATAGAGACTAGAGTCGATTACTAATAGTACTAGTTTGAAAGGCTCGTTGGAATCGATTCGCTACAGAATTAACATTATATGCAACATAAGCACTTGAAGTACAAACGGAATAGGTATTAGTTTGGAGCAACAAACTCGGATTCTGGCAAGAATCTTATTTTTTGGTAGTATGAAGGGTAATTGGCCCAAAAATCGGATAGGGGTCAAGGCGATGTCAGGCGCCGGTGGCTGACTCAATTGCACCCCGAACCGCGCGAAATGGTCGCCTATTACATGGCTCACTAACTCTGCCTGGGGTCTTTCTGCAGAAACCTCCACGAACAATTGTCATTTTATGATGGTTTTTTTTTTCGCTTCTCATGGCTGCTCTTTCCACACCTCCGAATATATGGTGCCAAATGGTCGTTCCTTTCCTTATTTCTTTGATAATAATAGAGTTGGGTATCTTTGTGGCATCAATTGTACAAGTTCGTGAAGAGGGCTGAATGAGTACAATGAGAGAAAGCGGCTCGATCGACCAAAAAAAAAAAAGAGTAGCCTCCCTAGAACCTGGCAGTTCTTGACCAGTTGAAAAAAATATTAGCTAACTTTTAGTGAGGCGGTGATGAAGACAAAAGGAAGATTCACCGGATATTTTTTGATACCGGTCCTATTTACTTGTCATGTTTGTCAAAGTAATTGTCCCAAAATACATCAGTTTAGAAAACTAAAAAAGATTTAATATTTTTATCCAATTTTATCCTTAGATTGGTAAGCATCTATTGGAGAGAGATTAGTGTACTGAAAGATCAAAGAATAAAGTAGTCAAATAAATTTATTTATTAATAATATTTTTAAAATATGTGTAAAAGACTAATATGACAAGTAAATTGGACCATAGAGAGTAATTGGAAAACTTAAATGGCGTTCGGTTATAATTAGGTTTTGGCTAAATTTCCAAAACCTAATTACTCGCCCTTAACAAAAATGAAATGAGTTTTTAAGCAGATCCCCAAAAACATTAAACCTAAGTAGAAAATAGTTCGGAAAGACATTTCTTTTCCACAAAAACATTTCCAAAACCAAAAATATTAAGGAATAAAAATTCTCCTTGAATTTATAGAATTGCCATTCACACAATCCTTTTTCTATGAGAATAATGAATTCTGCTATTTTATAAATACGCCCACACCTTCAGGCTAATGCTACATTCCATTTCATCAGATTGTTTTCAAGCTAATTTGATCAAGTAATAGTTTCTTCTGAATCAAATGGAGAAATCAGTAACTTTTTTTACTACAACTATTGATTCCACCCAATGGAAAAATCAAGTAGAGAAATCAGATACAAAGGGTACAACAACTATTGATTCCACCAAAATTAATTCTAAGTGCAATATTGCATTACAAATCTTATTACTTGGATTAGCTGTAATGCTCGGTATTACTCTAGCTTTTCACATGTTTTATATTCATGAGGGTACAACAGTAATTCATAACCCCAAGATCGAAATTGTGTCAGTGTCGCCCTCTTCGTTTACCGTATCAACTCTTTACATTAACCCTTTGATCGTGCAAAATCCTGACAGTTGGAACCTCGCCTTCTCAATTCAGAACCCTAATAGTAATTACAATTTCTATTACTATGATCTCGAGGCTAGTATATCCTACAACGATACCCTTCTCTGGAGTGCTAAAGTGTTAGATAAATTCTATCAAGATGGAAAGGCTCAAACATCAATCGATTCAACGTTTGCAGCTATGCCTGAACCATATGTTTATTGGATTGCTAAATCTATTAGTGATGATCTTGCTTCTGGTCAGACCACAAGATTTTCTGTAAGCTTAAATGGGAAGATTCAAATTAGCAATCATATCGCACCTTCTCATATAAGTTGTCGAAAACTTGAGGTGTATTGTGAAGGTTTACAAGTTGAATATATAGAAGATGCCAGAGTTGGAGTATTAGGGGTCGATTCAAAAGCTTGTGAGGTTAATATTTTTCAAGACTCAAGATGTTGATTATGATTATTACATCAGATTTGGATGAATTACTGAAGGCCTTCAACGCATAGGGATTAAATACAACTAGTCTGTTTGGCCAAGCTTCTTTTTGGCCAAAAATTGAGGTGTAAAAAAGTGCTTTTGATGAGAAGCAGAAGCAGTTTTGGAGAAGCAGAAAAAAATAGCTTCCCTCCAAAAGCACTTTTCTGAGAATCACTTTTGGGAAAAATACACTTAGAAGCCGTTTTTTAAAGCTTGGCCAAACACTAATTGCTGCTCAGAAGTGCTTTTCAAACTAATTAGCCAAACACAAACTGCTTCTCACCAAAAGTACTTTTGAGAAAAGCACTTTTCAAAAAAGCACTTCTCAAAATAAGCTTATTTTTGCAGCTTGGCCAAACGNTAAAACGTTTTTTAAAGTTTAGGGTCGGGTTCCCTTTACCCTTTTTAACTTTTTAATTTTAACTTTTAACGTTACGTTCCTTCCCGTTACCCGGTTACGGTCGGTTCGGTTCGACCGTACGGTTAGTTAGTTTAAGGTTTAACGTACTAGTTAAGTTAACTAACAACTTTAATTTAATTTACTTAGTATTAATATTATTAAATAAAGGATTGAGTAAATAGTTATACTTAAAAGGAAAAAATTAAATTTCTTTGGATAACAATATTGTGGATCGTCGTATGGTGGCGTGTTTGTCGAGGTCAAGATGATTGTATATCGTCTGAACCTATGAACATGAACAATCAAAATTTAATTAGATATATGTAATTTTTGTTTACTTATTCGATTTTATAAGGTACAAACATGTAATAAAATGTATCTCACTAATTATATCCTTATATAGGATGTTCTTGGTGTATGTTCACTTCATCTATTTTGGTTGCTCTATCATGACCAGGAGTCATGCCCCTGTTAAAAATACTATGTAAAGTTGGTTGCATTTTAAAAAAAAGTTGTGATAGATACAATCCAACATTGAAAATTGTTCGACCACGTATTTGCAAGAAATAATTTTAGGACTACATTTGAGTTGAGTATAGGTGAGCTATCATTTATCTTTCGAAAGTCTTCTAACAAGACAAAGTATTTACCATACATAAAATATTGATAAAATGTAAAATCAAATCATAAAAGTGATAAGACGAAAAAATTAACCATACGTGCAATATTGATAAAAAATAAATCATATCATAAAAATGAGATATAGTTCCCTAAGTACCTAAATATCGTGAGAAAGTAAGAGGAGAACGAAAAAAAATGACATTAACACTCATGAGATGAAGTTTTGGTCCTTTGAGTCCTTGCTATCTTAGTTTATCAACAATAATACAAGAGAAAAACTGTCAAAATTTTTTTTTTTTTTTTCACATACTCTATGTTTCTAACACAATATTCATCTAATTAGCTCCAACAACTCCAACAAGTTAAATGCACTATTGGAAATCATTAATGGAGTAGTATGACACAACAAATACATTTTAAGAACTCATTCCAACTAATCCCTTTCTAAAGACACTTCCATACTTCGTAATATATATCAATATTATCATTATATAATATACTTATTATTTTGATTGACATAAAGTAAACAATATACTATGAGTTTTTTTGGAATTATCGAGAGTGAGATATTTTAAAACACTCGGTCAATTAGAAACAACATTTGAAAGTTTGTTATACTTTTGTTTTTAATCTAAATTCGTAGCAAGTTTTTTTAATTATCTTTAAATGAAATTGGAAACAATTTTCCACATTCATTGCTAAAAGATAATATGCAGAACAATAATTTCTCCACAAGTTACCAATGGTTTAAAAAACAATATTTGCAGGCTACTATCTAATCAAAAAATTAATGTTGCGCTATTTGATTTCCTCAACATAAGAACTCAACCTAATAGAAAAAAGGAATTACAGAAAACTGTAAGGAACGAAACAAGATTTGACAGGAAGCAAGGAAACATAATGTATATGATAAAACTTGTCAAATTCAAAATCTGAGTCCGTTTATGCAAGTCATTCTGAGTTTAAATTGCGCCACTCAATACCATACACTCTTTATTTATTTGTTGCATTGAGCATTTCTGCTTTGTACTCATCTCTAGGATTCCCCAATATATATCTTTCAACCTCCTATTAAGATAGAAAAACTGTCAGGACATCATGACTATCAAATAAGTGTACATAAAGAGATAAAAGATTATAAAAAAGAGAAAAGCTTTGGAATCAGGGCACTACACATAGAAGGTATTAGAAACAAAAGAAGCGTTTTATTTTTTTTCTAAAGAAGGATAGCAGATACTCGCCTTTTGATGTTTTATACGTCAATACCACATAAGAGGGGGTGATTTGTATGGTACCCAATTTTCACTTTAGAAGAACCTGATTCTTCTAGGTGTACTTACTACTACTGTTTGCGGAATTAAGAGTGCATAAAATAAAGAACATAGTGATTTTTACGTGGAAAACACCTGGCTCAAAAGGTGAAAAAACCACGACCTACTACTCAGTAGGATTTTCCCAAACTTCCACTAAAATCACTGAGCCAAAACAGCATTTACAAAACTCTTGTAAACCTAAGGATTAAACTCTAATCCCAGTGTGGCACACAGCCTCAACTGTTGCGACACCTTCAAGTTAGCCTATAACTTGAATACTCAACGTACCTATTACAATTGCTTCTACAAAAGCTGAAAATGTACAACTTTAAACCACCTACTACAATTGAACTAGTATAAGAATAAACACAATGGAATTGGTTCTTCTATCCTGTCCAAGTAGCTTCAGGAATGCACACTTGAATCTCACATAAATTGCTTGCAAAATTGCCTCGCTCTTTTGCTCTCAATTTAGTTTCACTTCTGCGTTTGTGCAATCCCTGTAAAAGGGAACAAT